AGCCATTAGATCTGGGTAGATGGCTTAAGTTACAATGTCACAAGCTATTTGTTAGCCGTTAGCTCCTGATCAAATGGCTCAAAGTTTTTTATTTTTGATTTTTATTCTATTAATCATTTTACGTCAAAATTTGGTGCATGTATAGATCTGACAAGGGCGCACATGATAAAAACAAAAACAAATTATTTCCGATGATAGAGAATTACCAGAGTACCCCTAAAAATTTAAGGGGCAGTTTGGTCATTTATTTTTATGGGAAATATTTATTTTTTATTTTTACCAGGTTCACCCTACGTTTTTGATGGGATAACAAAAATTTCATTAAAAGAAAATTTGTATAAAAAAATTAAAAATAAAAATGTTTGACGCGATATTATGGTGTGAACAATCATAACCTCGAATGGCTGGGAAATGGGGTCCCATATAACTTATATGTCGTTGGGGCATGTATAAAGTCCCCCCATTTAAAAAAAGTAAAAACAAAGTAGATTTTGAGTTATAAACATTTAGTTATGATCTTCAAAAAACCCATAAGGTCTCTCAATCTTGAGGCATTATAATTTTTGAAAAAATGCATGTGATACTTTACAACTTAGGTAAGATTCATTTGGGGATCACTCTTTGGCGTTGTGAAAAATGAGATCTCCAATATTGAGATGGGTTGAGAGAGGCTCAGAGATAAATGATTTTTTTGGTGGTTTTTGGTTAGCTAACTTTTGTCACTCTGTGAGAGAATTCAAAACAGAAAGTCTCACAATTATTCTCAAGTTCTGGCAGTGGTGGGAACATGGAGATTGACAACCGGTGTTATTCGATTGGAAATGTGGGTTGAAAGTGGGGCTGGGGTCATGGTGGTAGCAGCACTTGTGTCTAAGCGATTTCAAAAAACGAGATCCACACTGAATTACCCAAAAAAAAACAAGTGGTTTGATAAGATAAGAACCATGGATTTTATTCAAAGAAGCGTATCAATCTACCCTTGTGTTTATTCCTATTGAATCAAATACTCGGGTGTGAGTGCAGGGCGCACCATTTCAGAAAGGACTCATTCAAATATTTGAGATGCTCCATCAGTACAGCAGTTTCCAAAAGCCCTGGTTTCAGTGTAGTAAGTCAATATCTCGGTCTCGATACAAAATTCCTTTGTATCACTACCTTCATATTTGGATTCTATTCCAACGCTGTCTAACAACATTTTCAAGATACCTATCTTTGTGAGAATTCAGCGCCAATAGTTGTATCTCTCCCTGTGCATAAGAGGAGCATCTCCATGTGCATAAGAGGAGCATCCCCGAAAGTCGCATGGGTTATACTTTAAAAATTGGGCTAGGCTTGAGTGGTTAGTAGTTGACATTAGTAACACTATATCGGAAGTTTAATTCTTGCCATTGAACCTTAAAAAATACAGATATTCTATCCATTATTTTCATATATACTGATTGCAATATATACTTTCTATATTAACGTGATACACATTATATACTTTCCTTTTACAAGATCCACAATCATAATGAGGACCCCATATAAATTTTCTTTTTTCAAGCAATGATTTATAACCTTGAATATCCAAAGTCCTCTATTGGGTTCGAAGTCTTGGCTTTTGACATTCAAGGTCATAAAAGACTTCAAATGCAGTATTAGCCAAAGACCTCTAGCATAGACTTCAATTCAATTTTTTAAAAAAATTTTAGCTTAAGTTCTTAGACATATGAAGTAAAAAAGGATGAAAGTTTTGGCTTCAGACCTTCAAGGTCCAAAGTGGAGAGAGGACCTCGCATCTTGAAGGTCCGATGCCATAATTTGAAATTATTTGTTTTTACTTCAAGTTAAGAGTCATTTAGGAATTTGGATATTGAAGGAACAAAGCCGGGGGTATTCCAAGGAAAAATAAATAAATAAAAATAAAAAATAGGTACAAACCAAATATATGACATTTTGAAAAAAGACGATATACTTTTGACACAAGGAAGTCACAATTATTATCAAATGTTAGATGTAAAATTAGGCGACTGGGGACAATGGAATTCGACCCGACCCAGGACCCGAGGGGTGGACCCAATCCGGGTCTATGTATTGGTCCAAAAATTGGACCCAGTTGGTCGGGTTCGAGTCCAAATCTTCGACCTAAACACTATTCGAGTTTGGGTCTGGTAATATTTTCCGGGTCTCAATATATAAAATATATTTAAATATAATTAAATACTTCTATATTTTATTTTTTAGGTCAGATATGGGTCCCACACTATATTTTTGCAGCCATGGTCCAGCCCGGGTTACCACCCCTACATCAAAGGGCTAAAAATAATTGTGATCTCCTTATGCCTGAAAACAATCGGTCTCATAGTATATAAACTCAGAGATAAAAAAGCATTAGGGGAACGTATGTACCCAAAAAATGAAATAAATACCTATGTGATCTTTTACCGGGGAATACATTTTTTTTTTTTACCCCTTTCTTTTGACAAAAGATCAATTACAAGTGGTCTTTATTATAATAAGATAAATTTCAAACTAAAATCAATATAACAATAAAACCAATATCTTAACAACTTGATGCCATTGAAACAACTACGCACTATACTTGAGAATAAAAGACAAGATTGCAAGAAACAAAATAGGAAGAGTGTCGGAGATTACTTCAATCGGGCTGATTACACCCACACCGAGTCACCACCATCCGATGGCGCAGAATCAATGGTCTAGCTTCAATCTCAAACCGGGAAAGCAAATTTCGACCAAGCCACACCAATGAAACATGAACGCCTTTGATCACAAACTCAAACCCCAGGTGAATTCTCTTAGCAACTTAGTTTGAGAGAAATGGATTCTCTTTGCTAAACCCTAAACCCTAGCCATAAATCCATATTTGATAGATAGGAGAGAAGAACTCCATAACCTAAACCCTTAGGTACTTTCACAACGTGAGAGAGATAAAAAGATAAAGGGTAAAGATTTTTTTTGATAGAGACAATCTCTTTTTATAGGCTTTGAATAAGATTAGGGTTTTTTAGAATTTTTTTTGGCTTGCCTCTTTTAAGATTTAACATAAACCGTCGATCAAGGGTGACTTGTGGGGTGAGAGATATGAGCTATCAATTCCATAAATGGGCCATCAACATTATGGAAGGTACATGGACAGTTATCTCCCTTTCTTAAACCATTTTTCTATCAATATATTTAAATAAAATAAATATCATGCATTCTATAAAATTGCATGATCCATGCCACATATTATATAAGGATATATCAAATAATATCAAGTAGATAAATATAAATAAAATAAGATCTATATCAATTCAAATTGACCATATCTCTTTAAAATAAACTTGTTGCAAAATAGATAAAGCCATAGTCAATATATCTTGGTCCTTTCCAATATTTGATCATATGTCACGAATCAAAAAGCTATGGTCAATATATCCCTTCCAAGATTTGACCATATGCTACAAATCAAACTAGCTTTATCTTAAAGCAAACAAGAAAATCCAAAGAGGGTGGGGCGTGCCACCCTTTTGTGGCACATGTGGGCCCCCACCCACATGCCATATGGTGGGCCCCCACCCACATGCCACATGGTGGGCCCATGTAGACTATGGGTCCCCATAAAAAAATATATTAATTTAATAATTTAAAAAATATATTTGAATTTTTATAATTTTATAAGAACAATAACTGTATTTTTATAAGTTCAAAAATAACAAATAAAATATTGATAGATTCAAAAAAATTCAAATAATAAAACTAAAATCATTTCAATAATAAAATGAACACAATTAAATTAATATGATAGAAAAAAGATCTATATGGTTTTAGGAATTCAATCAGTAATAACGAGGTACTTCACTTTCAACTGTGGATTACAGACTACACTAGTTTTATCGAACTGACCCACAGTCCAAGCAAGGGCTCATTAGCAGGTCACCAAAGTCAGGTCGATGAATCAAGGGGTTGCAATCCCAGTCTGTGGATTACATGTCCTCCCCTAGAGACCAGTTAATGTCACATATACTTGATGCGACCATAGCTCATAAGGTGCATAGGGGTATCTCTCGCACATGCATATGCTTCACCCTAAAATGTGTATTTCTGGTTTTTTCAAACGATCTATTAATATGCATGCCGTATGATGGAGCATAGATGAGGTTTTAGCCCTCGTCTCAGTAGACCACCATCACACACAAGGGTCACACAGTCTCTCGGCTCACTCATCCAGGCATGTTCTCTTACCTCATAAAGGGCTACCCTATAAGCCCTTATCGGTTTGTTTTTCATGTCCAGGTAACATGGGTTTTCCCAACCGACTGCCCTAGATCGTTAAGCACAAATTGGTATCAGCAAACCATCGTTTACATAGTATGGTCAACGAATGACCACACTCCTACTGAGCTCATGTTCCACTATATCATTTCATTTTACAAGCACTCAGGCCTTTAACGGCCGTACCCAACAAAAAAAACAAGCATTAGTGGAACATGAGCATAAATTCCCTGCACCTTGAGTTCCAATCCAATAAATAAAATAATAATAATATTAATAATAATGAGTTAAAAATAATATTTCTCACTCGTCCTTCTCAATAATTTGTGGTTTTTCAAGGCTCTAAATAAGCAAAGTAGAGTGTGCCTTCAAAGAGCGTTGAGAAGTGTGGTTTCAATACTAAAACGCTTTAAAATATATTTTATCTCTAAATTATAAAGTTTAAAGCTTCAAAAATAATATAGACTTAGAAGATTTATGAAAACTTCAAAATCTTAAAAATGTAATATAAGATACTCTAATTTAAAACTTAATTTATTTTTATTTTTATATCCATGTATGTTGATATTGAGATGACCAATTTGAAGATATTTACGCCTAAAAAATACGATCAATAAATTTATTGAGATAGGCTCTAATTTGATTGTTTAGAGCCTCGGCTTTATACAAACTTTTCCCTTTCCATAATAAGCATCCATAACAAGCAGTCCACCAATTGCCATTTTCTCTCACTATAAATTCTCTCTCGCTCTTTTTATTTGTATGTCAGACTCTGTGCAAACGTATGTCGAAGAAGTCAGAGAGACAATCTCGAGAGAAAAAATCTGTAGAGAAATGGGAGAGATGACGGACGATCCTTTGGATTCTTTGAGAGCTTTGATGGCTGCTTACTCCCCTCCTCTGCGAGCTCTCATCGTACCTTCTGAAGACGCTCATCAGGTTACCAAAATTAATCTTCTTTCTCTCTTTAAGAAATCATCTTTCTCTCTCTAGGGCATCTTAAAATTTATTTGCATTCTCTCTCTGTGGAGAATCTTAAATATCATCTTATTGAGAACAGAGACCACTCTATTAGTCTCTATCAATCTCGCTCAAGTTTGTATGGAGATTATGCATTCGCTGATACGTTTTGTTTACCTATTTGTTGTCATTTCTTTTTTTGGGAATTTCATGAAATTTGAGATTTGCGATCACTCTTACCGATGGGCATTTTCATTTGATAATCTTTGCTTTCTTTCAATTTGTTTGAAAACGTTTAAATTTTGGATCAATAAGCGCCAGATCAGTGTTACTTTGCTCTATTGTTTTAATCTTCACAATAAATTTGATATATTCTTGCTTAACCCCTGAACAGTTTAGGTTTGATGTATTGGTAGTAATAATTATTTGTATGTTAGTATAGCTTTTTTTTTTTTTTTGAATGTTAAAAAAGTTATATTTTTTATTATTCTTTCAAATTTCATGAATTTTGAGCTACTGGGATGGCTTTTTGGCATTAATGGCTGTTTTTATTTGATAAAATTTTCTTTTTTAATGAATGTGAACGAGTTTGAATTTGGTAGTTTAATGCACTCTAATTTTTATTTATTTATTTATGAAATGGTAGGTTAATGTACTGTACTTGATGTTTATTTTCATTAGTTGTTTGTACGTTAAATTGAACTTTGTCTTTTTATCTTGCTAATATGAGTTTAAAGAATCCTTTCCCTATATTAGCCATGCAATATATTTTTGGTTTAGATGTTGGATTAATGTGGACTGATTCATATGGTATATAAATCACTTTTGCAGAGTGAATATGTTGCTGCTTGGGATAAACGGCGTGCGTTTATCACTGGTTTTACTGGAAGTGCTGGTGAGTTTGGTTCTTTTTTTTTGGCTAACCGTTTCCTATTAAACTTTGTCTTCTAGGTTATTTCATAAATTGTATATGTTCATTCTTTTATTATTTATTATTTTTTTATTTTTGTTTCTGGAATGCATACTCTTGTATGAGAATCCTGTAGAGTTTATTGTACTCTTCGCTTGACATTGAATGTATGTTCTTTGTATGAAAACCCATGTTATCATACATTCTATTGCATATGTGTTGTTATTTATTTGTTCATTCAGTTTTATTCATTCATATTTCCTCAAGTGTGTGATTTAGACTTCCCACCATCTCTTTTAGATATCCTTAGCTAATGAAATTTTAGAATTGGTATCTACCAGGTACAGCTGTTGTGACAACAGACGATGCGATGCTGTGGACAGATGGGCGTTACTTTTTGCAGGCAACACAACAGTTGAGTGATAGCTGGAAACTCATGAGGATCGGAGAAGACCTGGCAATTGAGACATGGTTAGCTGATGTGAGTCACCATCTTCATTTATAGCACGATTGGCACTTAATAAAGATGCAACAGGCTAATCCATGGGTTTATCTAACTTTATATTTATACCTGTAATAATTTTGTTTAGTCACATATTAGTTGAGTATTTAACTTAAAATTGATTATATGACTAGTGATTTTGGGATTTAATTCTTTTATGGGGTATTGTTGTTTTCTCCTGAATGTCCTCTATATACATGTCACCCTTTTTTATGATCTGTTTTTAGAATTTGGAGAAAGATGCTGCCGTTGGTATCGATCCGTGGTGTGTATCTGTAGAAGCTGCACAGAGATGGGATATGTCCTTTGCAAAGAAAGGACTAAAGCTTATTCAGTTGTCTGAAAATTTGGTGGATAAAGTTTGGAAAAACCGTCCTTTACCTGAACTTCAACCTGTCTTCTTACAACCACTGGAATTTGCTGGTCGCTCTGTTGCTGACAAATTGAAAGCTCTAAGGGAGAAACTTGATCAGGAGAAGGCTACAAGTATCATAGTAGCGGCACTTGATGAGGTAATTTGCGTTTTGATTTTATTTTTTGGAATCTGTTGTTGGGTGTCAAACCTGCTATTTTTTTTTTCCTTGCCATTCATCATCTTTCTACTGCATTTTAAAGTCATCTTTCTCCTATATCCCTGAGCGCTTATCTTTTTTCTTTGTAATGAAATAATTTTGCTTTTACTTGAGTGGTGGATTCATCTGCGATTACAGGTTGCTTGGCTTTACAATATTCGTGGGAATGATGTCTCATACAATCCTGTTGTCCATGCATTCGCTATAGTAACAACGAGCTCTGCATTCTTTTATGTAGACAAGAGAAAAGTTACCCAGGAGGTATATATTTTTAAACCCCTATAATAAGATTATTGTTTCCTGTTTTTGAAGTGGTGTATGCAGTCAAAATGATTTGGGGACCACTTTCAGAGATGTTGAAAGTGTAGGGGTGGAGTAGTTAGTTAACAGATTCAGAATTGAGTGTGGATCTGTTTACTCCACTTGAAAGTCCTCATGCACAATATGAACCAAAAATATCTCATATGCCCTTAAAGTTAGATGCATACATCTCACCACCTCACTCATATACACTCATATTCATAGTGCACAATTTTAACTAACTATGGAGTCTTTTATTATGTTTTATAGATATATATATATATATATTTTTTTTGAAACTTCTTGTTTTATAGAATGTCTGTTCACTGTTTGTTGTTATAGCCACCTTCTGTAGAATTTAAAGGTCTCAATTTGGTAGCTGTTCACAATTAATCATGAACAGAAGCATATATCTATTTGTATGCTGTGTCATCTTTCCCTATGTTTTAATTTGGATCTTTCCCATGACAGATTTTTGAGTTCTTACTACTTTGCATATTTGTTGATGTCTTTTTTCTGGGCAGTCATATTCATTCACCAAGTGGATTTACTTGGTGATTTTCTCCCTGCACCCAGGTACACAATTTCATGGTCGAAATGGGAATCGAAGTCCAGGATTATGGGACAGTTGTTTCTGATGTAGTATTGCTTGCATCCAACAAACTGATTGGCTCTTCTGTTATTAAAGCTTCCCAAAATGAACCTTCAGAAGAGAAAGGAAATGGTTATTCTCATACTGATGTGGTTGACAATGATGAGAAGGAACTAGAAGAAAAAAAGCATCTTATTTGGGTTGATCCCAGTTCCTGTTGCTTTGCATTGTATTCTAAATTGCCTCCTGATCACGTTCTTCTGCAGCAGTCGCCCTTGGCCCTTGAGAAAGCCCTTAAGGTAACTCTTAGAGAGCATGACTATGAGGCTGTGATGATATTTTGCATGATCATTGCCTTCTATTTTCTTTCTGTTCTTGTGGGAGCATGTTATTTACCAGTGCCATTTAGGAGATGCAAAAGTTATTTTTAAAATTCATCAAATGCAGAAATTAGATGACAAATTTAATGAGACCACTGTGGATTTTATCAATGTTCGAAGGGACGGTGACCCTGGGCGGCTGACTAGTCGCCCAGGGCCCTTTTGGCGAGGGGAGAAATTGATTTTCAGCTAAAAAATTTGTTTTGGGGGCACAAGTTGGGGAGGAATGCCCTAAATATTATTTCTCCCTTTGCAAGGGGGGAAATGACTTTTTTGCCCTTTGATGAAGGCGGAAAAGATTTTTTTTTAAGGATCGAGTTTGAATTCGAAGATTTCGATTTCTTTCAAAATCGAAAGGCATTCGACACAAAACTTTTTGGGGATTAAAGAGGTTGTGAAAGAGAGATTTTGTCAATCGAAAATGACCAATTCAAGCCTCCTCCAATTGGTTTTGTTGAAAGGTTAGTAAATTTAATCGTTTATGTTTAGAGTTTCATTTTTTTTGTGAGTCTCGTGTTATGTCATGCTTTTTTATCATTTTCTTGTGTTTATTATGAAGTTTGGTTTTACATTTATGATGAAGCTTCGTGAGTGTTTTTTTTCAGAGTTTGCTATTTTTATGGTTATAATATATTTTTGGCTATGTTTGTTTATGTTTCCACTTGATAATGCAAATTTGAAAATTCATGATATATTTTTTGCTATGTTTGGATTTGTTTCTAATTTATAATGCAAAATCGAAACTATTATTCTATGCATGCTTATGTCAATAATTTATAATGCAAAAACGAAAAATTATAATATATGTTTGGCTATATTTAACGTGGTTTCTAGTTTATGATGAAAATTTGATAATATTGTTATGTTATGTGACTTATTATTTTGGCTTATATGGCCAATGGATGTAAAATTTTGGCTCAAATTTTAGTTTTTTGTTACCAATGGATGTAAAATTTTGGCTCAAATTTTTGATTTTTAGATGTAAATTTTAGCCCCCCTAACACACTAGCCACATACCCCAGCCGCTTCCGTCTTCTTGAACATTGGATTTTATCACATATGCAAGCTAAACAAATAGTTTCCAGAAATTGTCATTCAATTTTTTGTCACTACTAACATAATTTTTGTAAGCAATAGAGTTATGAGGCATGATTATTATTATTATTTTGATGAAGGTGATATGGTTATTGTTAATTTGCTCAATCGTGTTGTTCCAGGCTGCTAACTATTTTCTCCCAAATAAAGACGTATGGAAACTTTAATATATTACTCCCATGTGAGCAAAATCTTTTATTTATAGATATATAGTGACTCCAACACTATAAAGTGGCAGTGTGCATCAGGAACTGCTAGAGTAGGGTGCATTGTTGGTGAATGGCTCAACAAAGGTTATAGAGGTGATATTGACATGTTTTGAATGGCATACTTTGAATTTTACATCTGAAAAAAAAAATATTTACCTCCACCTTGGAGCTTTGGTTTTAAGATTAGTACGGAGTGGATTTTGTTTCAACAGAAGTGAAAATAATAGGGTCATATCTTCAACAGATGTGAAGTCTTTCCTCTTTTTCCTTGCCTTATTGTGCTTTTGTATTTGTAGAATCCTGTTGAATTAGATGGTTTGAGAAATGCACATGTACGGGATGGTGCAGCTGTAGTGCAATACCTTGCTTGGCTGGATAAGAAGGTAAGATTTTATCCTGAAAATGTGTCAAATTTCTGTAATTATTTGTGATATTACAGGGAAATGCATGACTTGTGATATTCCTCTTTTGCGCATCATGGAGAACTGATGGTGCACTTGGTTGTTAATTTTCAGATGCAGGAGGAATACGGAGCTTCTGGCTACTTTTTGGAGCCTAAGGAAACAAACAAACGGAAGCATTCGTAAGTTATTGATCAATTACAAGGTGTTTTGTCTTAGAGATCACTGTATGCTTAGAGGTGTATTTGTTCTGCAAACTTCTATGGAAGTCTTTTTTTTATCCTTTTATTAACTCCTGTTTACTTCCTAAACCGTTTTCTTTAGGTAGTTCAGTGATAGGATTCGAACTTGGGATATAATGTTGCAATCTTCAAAACCTTCAATCAAGCCTGAGCCCAAATCCTGAAATCCTAAACCATTTATTGGGATTTCTATACAGTAAAAACCGTTTATTTTCTTTTGGTTTTACTGTTTGTGCATAAGCATGGCAGTGTCAGTTTTCTCTTAAAAAATGCTCGTGTTTTACTGCCTTAAAATTGCAGTTACTCTCTGAGTTTCAAATGTATTTATGCCGGATAGGATGTGTCAAGGGAACTGTATTCATTTGGAAGTTTGTGTTGAAAAATAAAATTCGAACTCTATAGTTACATACTGAAGTTTTTGGCTTTGTCAAAATTCGAACTCTATAGTTACATACTGAAGTTTTTGGCTTTGTCAAAGTTCAAAGACTTGGAGTCTGCCTCGGAGTGGCCAAGCCCCAAAGTGAGTCAATTATGAACTTGTACTCAACCATTCTCACCCAACTGCTCAAGTACATAAAATTAAGAAAATTGCTAAAAGAATGAATGAAAATCTTAAAATTAGAAACCTACATGCAAGGTTAGATCGGCCTCCTTAACCTCTAATGGGGTTAAAAGTTGCTGGAAACAAAAGGTAAGGGCATTTCAAGTCGCTGAAGACAGGCGAGATGAAGAAAATGCCTTATGCTATGCTAGCTTTTTTATTTCCTGTGAATCATTGGAAATTCGGTTTTCTTGTCTTTCTTGTGGAAGATAGGTTTTTAACTTGCTGCCAGGCAAAATAAAAGTTACAGAATCGTTGTATTCACATGCGTTGTTTTAAGTCGTTTCTCTTTGTTTGAATAGTTTATTCTCTTAATTTTTTGTTGATATGATAAGTCATTCTTGAGTAATATTTATGATATGATGGTTTGATTTTGGATTCAGGGACACCTGTAAACTGACGGAGATAACTGCTAGTGATAAACTAGAGAGTTTTCGGGCGAAGCAAAAGGTATGTTTTCTCGTTTTTTTCTCGTTCTTCCTTCCTTTCTTTCTTTTTCTCTTTTTTTTGGTGGTGGTTCAGTAGTATTTTTTTTTTGAGATGTGGTTCAGTAGTATTTTTCAGACGGGACATTGTGTTGCATTTGTTAACACCTCAAGCAATTAAGAGCTCAAACCTGAAAACTATAGCCTAAGTTCTGAGGGATTAACATTTTTTGCGTTGTTTGCCATAGTGGACTTCTGGCAACAGTAAAAAATTCAAAATAATGAAGCTTTTTTAATGTGTGCCAATGTCAACAATATTCTGAGTTAGACTCAAGTTTTGTAGTTTTTTAAGCCTAGAACCTGTGGTCCTAGTCTATCATGTATATGGCCTTTTCTTTTGTTTAAAGGTAGGTTATGATTAGACCCAATGCCCAAACCACCAAGCGAGAATACTAACCCTTTCCCATTTGCTAACCCCATTTTGCAACAATGCGAGGAACTTCCCATTAACACTAAAATCCTAAGACCATTAGTAGATCTAAGGCGATTTCGGTGACTTTTCACTTTTCCTTTCATTGCAAAAAATGAGTACAATATTTCTAAATACTGAATGTTGAGTTTGTAAATACAAGTTTTCTAAATCAGTTTCCTGTCAAAGCTGACATTTATAGCTTGGGAATTTGACTTGAAATATTCCATTTTCTACTATTTATTTTCTAATTCAGTTTTTTTATCAATTTCCTCACTAACCTGTTTGCTTTGAAACTCTTCTTGAAGGCATTTCCTTGCTTATTTTTTCCTTTGCCTTGTTTTGCATGACAGCATTTCAAGGGATTGAGCTTCCCAACTATTTCATCAGTTGGTTCAAATGCTGCAATCATTCATTATGTTCCAGAGCCCAAAACGTGTGCTGAGATGGATCCAGATAGTGTTTACCTTTTTGATTCAGGAGCCCAGGTTGGTTTACAGACTTTTTTTTCACCTTCAGCTTCAAAGATGCTGTTTGTGATTCTCAGTTCTGGCTTGTGTTTTATCATTCACTCTAGTCAGCTCTCTCTCTCTCGCTCTCCACACACGCACACGCTCACACTCACACTCATCTATTTCTTCTGTTTTATTAAATCTCCTTTCCTTTCTATTAAATGATCCTGACTCATATGATCACAATTTTGAAGTATCAAGATGGTACAACTGATATAACAAGGACAGTGCATTTTGGCAAGCCTTCATCCCAGGAGAAAGCATGCTATACTTCTGTAGGTGACTTCTCATAAATGTATTCTTATGTTTACATCTTAATCTCTTGCAGTATTTGTATATCATATCATACAAGTTTTTAGCTTCTCCGAAGCATTCTGTAATCTGTATTATGCTGAGGAAGAACGAAATTGCTCTTTTTTTGCTTTTATAGTTCCAAATTTCCTTCTTTGCTGCTTTGAAACAGGTGCTTCTTTCCTCTCTGGCATCTGAATGTTTGGTTTATGTGCTGACACTTATTTTTCTGCATCTTTTGCAATTTAACTGATCTTTGACCCATTCTCTTGTTTTTGTCTGGAAAATATGTGCAAATCAGCCCTTGTGAAGGATTTTGTGTTAATTACTAATTCTCTTGCATCAATGGACTGACCTAGGTCCTCAAAGGCCACATAGCATTGGATACTGCAATATTTCCCAATGGCACTACAGGTATCACATGTGCTTACATTCTTATCCATCCCTCCTTTATGGTTGCCAATGATTTACTGCATTATAAGTTAGGCAAATATGATATGGAGAAAAATTTTACATTCTACTTTTGCAGGACATGCACTTGATATTCTTGCACGTCTTCCTTTATGGAAGGATGGGCTTGATTATCGCCATGGCACTGGGCATGGGATTGGATCTTACTTAAATGTTCATGAAGGTTTGTGAGTCATTCAATTTAAAATCAGTTATATTGAAAGAGTTCCATAATTCCAATGTTATCGTTTTGTCTCTTCATATGGGAGTTTCTATAATGTGATTTTACTAATGAAACAAATTCTAAGATGTTTTAATCGTTTCCTTGGACTTGTTATAAGCAGGACCTCATTTAATCAGCTTTCGACCTCATGCTAGGAATGTGCCATTGCAGGCTTCAATGACTGTAACTGATGGTTCGTATCATTGTCCTTCAGGACCTTTGCTATTTAAACTGTCATCTTCAGATAGGTCTTCCGACATCTGCGTGTTCCTTCAATGTTTTCTTTCCTAATGACTTGAATTCAGATATGTCTTCTGATGTCTGCGTGTTCCTTCAGTGTCTTGTTTTCTAATGACTTGAATGTATATATGATTGTGTTTGGTTCAATCTATTCACGAACCTGAATTGGATATTATGGTCATAATATTCCTTGAAAGAAGTTCTTATAGATCTGGAACTTCTTCTCGGGATGCACTTCTTTTCCATGTCCTTTCCTCTGCTATAGTGCACCATCATGTAGGATCTTTCTTTATAAGGAAATGCTGTATTCCTCAAGGTTAACATTCTCAAAAAAAGAAAAGAAATGCTATGGTCCAATGGACAACTGTATTTGTGGTCCAATAAGGAAAGAGTCCCCATTATCTCTATTGCTATCCACTTCATCTTTTGGTGATAGCCCCATTATAGTTTTCCGCGATCTGTTGGATTATAGTTACCCATTTTGCATTACAATTTATAGAACTGTCACTGGCTAAAAAGGTATTGTCAAGATTATATAGATCATTTCAACACGTCCAAAATTTTGTTTTCTATATGACAATTTCATTTTCATGTCGAATTTATTCTCATTTCAAATTTCTCCTAATTGACTTGGATGTTGTATTTTGAAATTGCTCTCCAGAACCTGGCTATTATGAGGATGGAAACTTTGGGATCAGATTAGAAAATGTTCTCATCGTAAAGGAAGCTGATACCAAATTTAATTTTGGTGACAAGGGTTTTTTATCGTTTGAGCACATAACATGGGTAAGTTTTATGGACAATTCAATTTGATTTCCTTCTTATAGAAGCATTCTCTTATCTGACTGAACTTTCCATTGTCAGAGATTAATGTTTGTGTGTGTGTGTGAGAGAGAGAGAGAGAGAGAGAGAGAGAGATTTGTATGTTTTACAAAAAACATTTGAGAATAACTGTCGTTTATGTGCAGGTGCCCTACCAGAAGAAGCTAATTGATCTGACCATGGTAACTCCCTCAGAGTTAGAATGGATGAATGCTTACCATTCAAGTTGCCGGCAAGTTTTGGCTCCTTATTTAAGTGAATCAGAATTGGAGTGGCTCAATAAATCTACGGAGCCCATCACCTGTAATTAATTGAACTTCTACATATACACACTGAACTTCATTTCTAAATTTCAGGTAATTTGATTGTTTTACATGTTCTCAAACAGTGTGGTGACAGATGCCGCATTCTGTGATAAATGTGGTGTGTCCTCTCTCTCTCTCTTCTAAAGGATTTATGTTGATATTCATTTATTTAAGTCCATAATTATGCTTTGCTAGGCTGATCAGAATTTGCTTAATCCAGGTTGCTTTTGAATTTTGTTCATTTTTGTTGTATTCTCTTGCACTATGCCAGATATTTGGGTAATTTATCCAAATACCCATAAGAGATAAATTATTTAACATTTTGCTCATCTTTTTATATAATTTCAAAATGCCCAGTAAATGGTGCATGATCATGAGTTGGTAATGTCTGGATATCCACACTCATCCTTTAGATGGTTGAAAATTATTCAAACAATAGTCTACGGGGGTTAGTTATTACTCAGGCTATAAATAATGTTAAATAATGTAATCTATTACTCCGGCTATAAATAATATGTGACATTATTGGTGATCTATTCTTAGTTATCAAGTTTTTGTTTGAAGTACACTTGTTTGTTTGTGTTAGTATGCCTAACCTAGAAAGGGTCAAGCTTATTGCATTGCCCACAAATGCCTTTAAGGGACGGGTACTTGAAAATCTATTACATGACAATTGATTATGAGGAAATATGACATTTTCACCGTTTGGGTAGACAGGAGAAATAGAAAGAGATTATCCAAGATTTTCTACGGCCGGTGAAAGTGAAAAATCTATTACGTGCTTAACGGGTAATCTTTAGAAATATTTTGTGTGGCTGTCTCTATCTTATCCCAGCTGGTAAATTTTAGAAATCTTTTACGTGAGTGGCTTTGTTTTAACCCAGTTGAATAAAATGCCAACCCGTCTACTCGGTCAGCTTAATAAAATGCCAACCTGCCTATTCGGTTTGCACAGCTGCTGCCTCTCTAATCTGGTCTAATTTCATCTTTCTTGAACCCTAATTTCATCCCTCTCTAATCCGGTTTAATTTTATCTTTTCTTGAATCGTAATTTCATTTTTCTTGAATGCACTTGTACTCCATCTCTCTCTTTAAGCAGGTTTCATTTCATCTTTCTTGAACCTTAATAACTAGTTTGACTGGTTTGCATGAGGTGCTCCCCTTTTTTTTTAAGCCCTCTCTTTTCTGTACTTTTTCTTTTTTTGTTAAGCTTTTTTTATTTTTAAGCCCCTTTATTGTTATTATTATTATTTTTTTTATCTTGACTTTTCCATTTTTTTTTTGTCATATCCATTCTCCTTAGCATATATAATAAATTTTTTTAGCCAATATAAGAAATTACACAACACAATTATAATAAAAAATTTTACCCAACATAATCCTTTAAAATATTAATAAAAACTCAATTGAAATAAGATCTCTTTAGTTTCTTTCAATACCTCAAAATTTTCTACTGCAATTATCAAATTTTTAATTTACTAATCAAACTTTTTATTTTTTAACTTGTACTATAAAGATTTTTAATTTGGTATCATAAATTTATTGCTTACTTGAGATTGCATAGATAGACATTTGAAAGACGTTTATAAAAGAAAAAAAAAAGGCTTATCACAATAAAAACATGTTATTTTAATCATATTATTCCAATGACTTATCATATTGAAACCAAAGTCTAATCATGTAAGTGGTCAATGCATGCCAAATAAGTAAGAAATTGGGTGATGATGACTTTAGAATGATACAAGTTATTATTATAAAATCTTTTTGGAATGGTGATGATGTTATTATTAGAAAATCTTTTTGGAATGATGTGATGATGATTTTAATACCGTATTTTAGTGAAATTTTGTGACAAAAAAAAGAAAGAAATGATAGTTTATAGGCAAGTATTGGTAAAATGTTAGTAATGCATTTCTCATATTTCTTTACGACATAGTCAAACACTAAGCATGTATTTCCCATGTTGCATCTAAATACTATCCAAACAGTAACAATCAATTTGCACGTAACATATTAGGCAGTAATGTATTATTACGCAGTAATATATTTCACAGACAATATATTTTCAGGTATCCAAACAGTTCCTTAATAGAAAAAGTTTACTATCAATGTTTTAATATTTGTCAGTTGGGATTAAAAATTGCTAATCCATACCAAAATAGGAATTGTTGGGGACCTACCCGGTTCCTAATTGAAAACTAGAATGGGTTCGATTTCCATAAGAGTTGCTGAGTCATCAGAGAACCAGGCGAGTGTGCAAATTGGATTGTCTGGTTCACAGTTGTTTTATATTTTAGAAAATTATAGAAAATCCTTTTTTATTTTCAATATTAAAAAAAAAAAATTTTATATTTTATGTTTTATAATGAAGTCCCACTTTTGAAAGCATAGAATATTTCGATTTTATATTTTTACATGTACATTGGATGAGGCTCGAATTGGCATGTCAAATATTTCTCACCTCTACACCTAATAAAATACTAAAAAATATTTTAAAATAAATAAAATTATTAAAACTCCTAAATAATATATATGTATTTTGATTCTTTATTGCTTTGAATTATTTGTTAAATAGTGTATATAGGTGTGTGATGGTGAGAATATAGACATTCCAAATTTAACTCAATTTAAAAATACACTTTATGCTTTAATGGGACTTGAATGTAAATGGATTATATGGGGCTATTTTTAAATTTAAAAGATAAAATAGGAGCTGCAATTTTTTTATTTTTTATTTTGCATTTTTTATTTTCTTAATTAAATTTATATGTAATTTGTTTGGAAGCGATTCTTACATAAGAGAATTGGTCTGGTTCGCATATCTTGATCACTGATTCGTTGATCTGCACCACATGTTTGAAAGAGCGATCTAATTTTTGAATTACTGGTTTATATGAAGAATAAACTTTATTTGTAGAAGTAAGATTGGGTGGTTGTGCTATACCATCTAGTGTTTTAAAATCCAGATCATGGAGTGTGCACCCACATATATGTGTCAAATCGCGAATCGAGGTTTTAGATCTGGTCTGGATCGGCAATCCAAACTGAAAATCACCAGGTATTAAAACATTAGTACGATCTGGTTTAGCTGGACAATGTAGATTCAACGTTTTTTTTAAACTTCGTAAAAATATAACCGTTCTAATAGACTACGAAATTTACTATGTTGATAGTATAGAACATCTCAATTTTATTTTATCGCCTTACATAATCCACACCCCTTCTTAATTGACTATATTATCGCCATACATAATCAACACTTTTTTAAAGAATCACATCAAGTACGAAAAATGATGTGATCCTTGAAATTGATCAATTGTGTCATATTTATCCTAACCAAAGCATAATTATAAGGGAAATTGTTTCATGAGGGCTGGACTGCATTTCTACACTATACGGTCTAGAAGTATAAAGCATCTATCTTAAAGATGGATGTAAATAGGTGGTCCATTTAAAAACAAGTGTAACTAGCGGTTCAAATATTTTTTTAATATAATTATTATTTTTAGTTTTCATTTTTATTTTTTTTCATATTCATGATCTTCATGTTAAAGATTATATATTATTTAAAAATTAAGATAAAATTATATTTAAAAAATATATTTATTGCTAAGCCCGCATTACTATAATATGCAGGCTTGCCACATAGAAACCGGAACCTAATTATAATATGAGATTGTCTACAAAATGAGCATTTATTTTTTGTACAAGGAGGTCACAATCATTCCCACTTATTAAATGTCATATTGGATGACTTGGGCCGAGTTATGAAGGCTAATAATTTTTGTTTTTTTTTATAACTTTGTTTCTATTCAATGACACTCTTAGAACTACCCATTTTAAAATTTAATGGACAAGAATCATTGTAACTTTCATGAACACTAATAGAAAAAAAGATAAAAAAAAGAAAAATGATGACATGCATGTACAATTTTTAGAAAAAGGTGGGATCAAAAAAATTCTCCTATATATGTACTTGTTGTAATAAGAGGGGTTTCTTTACTTTCTTTTTATTATTTTTATAAAAAGTAATCTTACTAACGTTATCTCTTTTTTCGGTAATTCAGTAGGGCCAATTTGTTTGTTTTTAATAGCTAGTGGTTTTTTAATGCATTCGGTGAGAATGGAAGCTTAGACATTAGCTGAGGCATAAGTGATATTACCACCACGACCCCAACCCCAACCCTATTCTCAAACTCTCTCTTTATCTACCCTTCAAAAGCTTCTATGAAAATATCTCTTTTTTCTTAAAATCTCTCTCTTAAATTAAGATATTTAAACAATACCAAGATATGCAAATAATGTTGAGATTTTTTTTAAAAATTAAAATATGAAAACAATGTGGAGATATATAGAAACAACATTGAGATATCTCTCTTTTGTGCTTACTCATATTCTCTCTCTTTTCTCCCTAAAGTTAAGAATGTGTCATCCACTCTCTCTAGATTTAGTGTCCTTATTTATGCGACACGTCTCTCTCTTCCCCTAAAGTTAGAAATGTGTCCTACAATCTTTATAGAATTAGAGCCCTTTTTCTATCTCTTTTTTGGGAATGGGGTTGAGGTTGTGGTAGTAGCACCACTTAAGCCTTAGCTACCGGCCTCGGTTTCCATTCCCGCTGTGGCATTCAAAAACCACTAATTATTTATAAAAACGGGTAGCGACTTGTATTCCCACTGATCTACCAAATAAAAGAAAAGTATACACAGCTAACATTTACTTTTAATACAAGGATGTCACAATCATTTTTGTACATTAGATTTCAAATTGGGTGATTGCTAGTGTCATTGATTAGATTCAAGATTCCATAAACTTTCTCAAACTTTTTGTCCCACCCTAGAATTTGATATCGAATAGCAAATTGCAACCTCTTTAAAACAAAGATAAATAATCTTACAGTATACAACCCCTATGAATTTATGCCGTAAGACTTGCATTTTTCTCATAGGTAGTAGCTACACGTCGTGTTCAGAGTGGATTTCCAAGTGTAGGCGACATGAGGAGGTGCCAAATCTTGGGCCACACCCTCTTTTCGATTGCTTAAGGATTTTTTAATTGCTTTGAGAGTTGTTTCTTTTCAATCAACTTTTGGAATCACACTGTAATATATGATTCTATGCTGCGTTGCCATATCCTTGCATCTTGATTTTTGGTCTATAAACATGCTCAACAGCTATCAATAACCTATAAATTATGTAGAGAGAGAGAGATAACCAGTATTCTAATTCTCCTAGGATGATACTGTACAAGTGTTTAGAGAGAGAAAATACTAGTATATGCACCCCCCACGTGATACTTTGCGCGTGTTAGGCCTTTAGAGAGAGATGGGCTCATGCATAGAGAGATGGAGATGGCACGTGCATAGAAGAGAGAGAAGATTTGGCATGTGCATAGAAGAGTGAGAGAGGGAGAGAGATGGCAAGTGCATTGAGAGAGAAAGAAGTGAGGCATGGCATGTGCATAGAAGGGATAGATAGGTGGTCATGTGCTTATAGGGAGTCAGGCTGATAGTGAGATGTGCTCCTACAGTAAGTACCCTACCCACTTGTTTTCTAGAGAGAGAGAGAGAGAGAGAGAGAGAGGTAGGTGTCTAGTGTGACAGTAGAAGTAAGTGAGTACTCGTCGTACCAGTACGTCCGTACCCTACCCTACGTTCGTAACCAAACTTAGTTTGTTTGTTGGTACTAC